TTTGCGCTGTGCATCGCAACTTGTGGCATGAAGAAACTTATATCGCAACTGAATTGCGTCCATCGTGAGCGGCACATGCTATCCCATCGTGGAGTCATTTAGTTCACTGACCAACAAACACCTCATTTTCACAGTGCAATACATCATCTTTAGGAGTCCCGATCCGATGTTTCGTTCCACAATAGATGAGATAGATCAGCCAAGACCTCAATTCGGCATTAGCTCCAGCTATATTCAAAACAGCCTCACTAGTCGCCGGATAAGTGCTTTTTCAAGAAGTACATTTAAGGAGAACAAACTGGTGTACGATTTTGATGATGCATGTCCCAACGGGTGATGATGGGAATATCTTAACCGAACATCGTTCTTCATTTAGGAGACTGATCGGAAAGCATCCAGCGCAGAGGAGAATGCGGTGGACGGATTAGTCAGCCAAGAGGAATCTGTACCAAAGCAAAATGCAGAGGTGAGTCCAAGTAATGCGAAACTGTTGCTGTTTCCTTCAGTTTTTTGTTTTGGCTACTACACTTGGTCTAATAATCCCCCCAATAGAGGTAGTAGACAAACTTGTTCACCTGGGTAGCTGTATCAGTCCAGGTGACCTCACGAAAGATGATATTTCCATGCGGATCGGGAAGGCCAGATCAGCTTTTTTGAACCTGTGGCGAAGACATGACATGAGCTTATTCGTCAAGGGTGCAATTTGCAATGCTACGGCGCGCTCCGTATTACGATATGGATCAGAGTTCTGTGCGCTGCGCGACTAGGACGTCCAACATCTTTCAGTGCTTGACCATCAATGTCCTCGGAGCATTGCTCGAGTGTAGGGGGAACACCGGACAAGCAATGCCGAAGTACGTCGAATGGTATACGAAGAAAATAACTCACCCTCAATAGATCAACTGACTGCACTGCGTATGTTGCGCAGGCTTGGCCACGTTCTACATATGCCAGTCAACTGACTTCCTCAAAGGGTTCTTTTCACAACCAGGTGAAGGGTGGGAACGAGCTAGAGGCTGGGAAGTATGAAAGCCATTACCAGCAAACTCACCCGCGCTGGTCGATGTAGACCTTCTAAATGGGAACCCGGAATGGGCCACATTAATGGTTAGAGACATTGTCAGACAGAACCAGTCGAGCCCTTATTGGCATCGGTGCATCAAAGGATTGTTCCTTTTCCAATTACCTCAAATCATCGGTGAACGAAACTTAGGTATCCACAACCATGGTACGACATGTACGCGGTTCTTACGGCTGCTGCAAATGATGATGATGATGATGATGACGATGATGATGAGGATGATGATGATGTTGATGATGATGATGATGATGATGATGATGATGATGATGATGATGATGATGATGATGATGATGATGATGATGATGATGATGATGATGATGATGATGATGATGATGATAATGATGATGATGACAGTGTGTAACAAATTGTATATACGTCCAATGACGCAGCACTTGGAAGTATGCTAACTTTGTGAGTTGAATATAGTCACAGTTTCAATTCAACCTTTTTATTGAGAAGATAGGACCTACATGTTCTCTACTGTGAACGATTCGGCCATACGAATGACCGCTAAGAAAGCAGAATTTCATCAACTTTTTCTACTCAAAGACGTTACTATTTTAACTTTTATGGAGAGCAATCTCGTTGCTCGTTAGCTAGTAATTTTCGATGGAAAATAACACAAAATCTGGACAAAATTGCATTCGATCTCAATGTTACAGATAGTGAACAAAACTTCACGGTTACTTGTTAGTGTTAATATGACGTTTTATCTCATTGGTTGGATGATTGTCTTTCATTCTAGTACAAATTAAGAATATCAAACAGGAAGCAAAACAGTTTCAGAGTAACTCATTCATTACCATTTCACTAGATTTGTGATCTAGGATTTCGGTCCAAAGAATTCTGTACAGGAGTATGTTTGAGTCACGTGCTCGTCACGGTTTTCTATACAGCCCTCTTTTCTTCGTCACCATTGCAGTCAGCAGACGGTCCAGACGGAGTGAGTGCCTACCAACAGGAGGTTGTCAAAAACGCCACCGCAACTGAAGTAGATGAAGTAAGCCCAACCACACTGTTATGTTGACCATGTCCAACGTAGTTGTGGCAATGCTGTCAGACTACTCGCACGTGCTCACCATCTAATTTACTTAGACTTCTGATAAAGTTACGGTGAAAAAGACGAAGTCTTGCCTTTGATAACAGGCACTGTGAAGTAAAATCTGACTGCAGAATTTGTCTCTACGGCTTTTTCAAACTTAGTGAGCTAACCAAACTAGGTTCAGCCGGAGAAGCTGGGTAGAAAAACTGAGAAAGCCAAGGGTTGGTGGACTAGGTATCTACGATATTGATATCTATCTCGCAATCTCATTTATTCACCCTAGATGAGGCAGAACCAATGCTTTGAGTGAAGCCAATGGATGATGATTCGTGTGGTAGAATACTGCTACTTTTCATAAACTGGAACATGGATTTGTGTGGAAAATGGTCGGGTGCCTTTGATCCTGTCAGATTAACGTCGATTCGTGGATGCCACAGGTAGACATGATTCGACCATGATGGTTGTGCGGCTTTGTGTTTTGTGATCAAACAACACACCACAAGCAAACACGGACCATAAGGTCGAAAGAGCTTAGATTATGGGGTAGTTTCGCGCTCGACATATAGGCGAAAACTAATAGTAGACTCACCGTCCACGTATTCACCTACCAGAGCCTGAACTAAACAAACGCTACATGCAATAGGTCGTAGGAGTGTTAGTCTAATTTCCGAGCCTCATCGGACCGTACTTTGTGATCGGCACCGCTCAGACCACATCCGCAGCCGTTTCTTCGTTTCGTTTTGTTGAGCAAACCCGTCCCATAAATCCCCTGTTCTGAATCTTGCATGATGGAAATTCGTCTTGTACTCCTCTCTAGCCTACACACATCTCCTAACACATGTCCGACTCAGCTGTTATCGGATAGTTTATTTCGACCGGTAGTTATGATTCGACCGTGGTGGGTTTTGCGGCGTTGATGATGTCGTGCTCAGAGCAATAAACCACAAGCAGACGTGGACCGTAACGTCGAAAGCGCTCAGATGATGGAGAGGTTTCGCCGACCATTGTCTATTTATACTAGTCTATAGAAAGAGCAGATTCTGCGCCATGTGGGGATGGAGGAAAGTGGTGCATAATCGCACCAAAATCATGTATCCGTGAACAATGTGCCTACATACTGCATGAAGTGTTGACATTGCATGACCAACAAACAAACCAACAGGGATGTTTCAGGTCACGAGATATGTTGGAGTAGACAGCTGGTTCGTACGGGGATCGGGTGAATCCACCATCGTTGATGGATACTAGGTCTGTTGTTTACGTAACCAAATGCTATCGAGCAACGGGTTTAGGATGAATTGTGGAGTCAGGACAATTGAAGCCACACACTAGGTCCCCAAATTCCGATGCTCGACCACGCCAAATACATTTCGCTTCCTCCACACATCGGTCCTAACCGAATGTGCAAACTTACTAGCTCACATTGTTTCCATCCAACAGGATTCCCAACCATCAGGCGCAACTCATACAGAAGGTGAATCACGTGCAGAGCTGGTCGATCAGCAGAACGTCCTCCGAAATGCCACCAAAACTGAACAGGATCAGGTAAGTTGTTTTTGAAGCTGTTTTCAAAGTGTTTCGCATCACACGGACCAGTACATTACAATCGCCCACAATCTAGTTCTGCTGGGGCCTTGATTCCCATATTCAACATAGCAAAGCCATTGTGATGTGAACTTCTGATCCATGAGCATTTTCCTGAATTTGTCTCTTGTTTCCTACAGTGTTATTTGCAACTGTTGGGACAAAGGCACAGATACGAAGACGAATGTAGAGGACACATTAAGCTGCTCGAAAACTTATGCTATGCGCCAACCACTCAAAAAGCCCGCATTATTCGGCTCTTCAGTACAGCACATAATTTGATTCACAATGAAATTTTGATCCATCCAAATACAGTGGCAAGCATATTCGTGGCAAGTAAATCCCGATGCTTTGTTAAAGCGCCAGAAATATAACGATTTCAAACTATGATGCATCGCCATCAGAACTCACGTGCTCAGCAAAGAAAGGGAACAGTTTAGATATCGGTAGTGAAATAAAAGCAGATGTGTGATTATACTTAAATTAAAGTGCATCTGTTCCCACGAATTCAAGCGAACCAGAACTTGCATCCTGTAGGATGCCTCATTGGAATATTGACTAGGCCATTCAGTGAATAACAGGGTATCGACCAGTTAGTCACATGATAGTCACAGCTAAGTACCTGGCGCTTTACACGAAGAATGACAGCTGAATTCGAGAGTTCGTCACTGGAGAAGCCACCAAATACGTAATGCTAATTGAACGCAAACACATTGCCAACCAGCCGATCGTGAATAGCTAACTCAGAGCAATGCAAGTCACAGATCTTTTTTATCCCCTCTATTTTCTATTTCATCTCATTTTTTGCTTGGAAAATCGTTGTAGTTTGTTTGTTGACCCAAGTTTGCGAGAAGTAAACTGGGAATTGCTTGCGTTAGAACTGCTCAGGTGAACGTGCTTGCAGTTTGATCCCGTAGTTTTGTTTGGATCTACCTTGCGTTACCGAAGAGGAAAACTAGTGAAAGGAAAAACGTGTTGCCAAAGTCTCCAAGTGTCCTGCATATGAAACGAATCATGGAAATTGAACTTCTTATTTCACACCAGTAGTCTCATTCCGAATGTCCTTGTCCGATCTCCTCGTAACTGTGGCGTTCAGATCAAAATTCTACTTAACGATTTTAGAATTAAGAAAGCTCTTTGCTTAGGCAGTCAGAAATGAATATCTTCTGTGCTTTAGGTCCGTTGATACCTCATTTTTAGAAACCAAGTTTAGTTTGAGTAGTGCTCGAATTGTTATTTTTCAAGTTTCAGCCTTGGTAATGACGAAACCACGAAGCACTATGCAAACAGACTTATTTTTCCCCGACAATCGTCCGGTAGTCGACTACGATTTTTATACTATCTACCATGAAAAATCAGCGCCCAGGGAGGAAAATGCCAGAAAATGATTCCTGCGCAACAGCTAACTGGTATTTGGCATTCACTTAGGTTTGCCGCAGTATGCATACATGAAAATCGAACTTGAGATCACACGGTAGAGAGCAGTAATATTTCTACTTTTTATCCACTCCCGAGAGTAGGTGATTCCAAGGGGTTAAACGAACACAGACTAATTCTCCAAGACACATGTTATGCATCTTGCAGGATGCTATATACTGCAGAAAAAACGGTAAATTGCTTACCAGAACACGCGAGCGGAAGTTCGCCGAGCTCTCCAAAAAAGAAAAGTATTCTGAAAATCAGTGGCAAAAGTATCGTCCCTTTTTTGGGACCACAAGAGGAACATGCCACCAGATCAACACATATATGCATGTACACATGTAAAGGTGCCCGGGCAACTTCGTGACATAGGCCCGTCCCTGTGGCAGAAACACAGTCAATCCAAGCAACAATAATATGTTATGCACAAACACTGCACGCTTTTGTGGACAGAATATGATGACAAACTTGAGTAGCTTGGCGGAATGACCGATGTTATCAGGACGCTGCTTAACACCTTTCGTCTGGACAAATCGTCTAGAGAAACAAAACTATATCAAGCATCCAAAAAATGATGGGTACCAGGTCTGTTGTTTACGTAACCAAATGCTATCGAGTAACTGGTGTTGGACGAATTGTGGAACCACGCGAAATACATTTCGTTTCCCCCACGCATCGTTCCTACCCGAATGTGCAATATTACTAGCTCACATTGTTTCCATCCAACAGGATTCCCAACCATCAGGCGCAACTCATACAGAAGGTGAATCACGTGCAGGGGTGGTCGATCAGCAGAACGTCCTCCGAAATGCCACCAAAACTGAACACGATCAGGTAAGAATCATAAACCACTGGTAGATGAGGCTGTTTCCTGGCTGTTTCGCATCACACGGTCCAGTACACTACAATCGCACACAATCTAGTTCCGTAGGACTACAAACTTCGTCGCATGCAGACTAGCGTTGCTTCACACAATTCTGTACTTAAATCCCACACTGTACATTCTGGCACGCGTTCTGGGGTTTAGTGTTTGGCAATCGTCGGCAGATCACGAACGTTACATCTCGAGGTGATCGTGTGATCACGGCGATCCTTGTGTTTCAGTGTTTCATTTTCAACTAAATCAGACGAATGCCCTCGCTTTACTGATTGACGTCTTTCCGTGATACGCACGCGCACACACTCAGTACTGACTATTTCACAGGAACTCGACCACGGTGACATGGACTCGGCTCCATATCTAGACCGCTGCACAATTGTTTCAGTTCGGCTCATACGAGCATGTTGGTATGTTGACGGAAGGCGCGTTTCGAATCGCGTTTGTAGAATCAATTTTGTGGTCGTTTGCGGGGCTGGATGATATGAGAACAGACAGAGACACTTTCATTCATGATTCTTGTACAACCCAGAGACCCAAACTACCGCTTCGAGTTATTGCTTCGAAGTGATTGCGATTCAACTTCTAGAGGGAGAATTCGATGGGCGAAAAACGCATACCCACGCACAACTCCTCTCCACCCGAAGACGGCCGCGAACGGCGTGGAATCCAGCATTGACTTGCGTACTCTATTTTACTGGAATTCGGGGCTGTTTCTTGGAGCCATGTTTTCGCCATTTCATTCTTTCTCTCAGTATTTTGAATCCTTCTTTGCGTTTCTCTCTGTTCTGTTTTGAAATATTTCAAATTTTTCCAGTGTAAGCTGTTTTTTATTTTCTCCAATCTTCGCGATCGTTTGCTCTTCATTTCCGTTTTCCTTGTGCTATATTTTCCGAAATAGGTAAATGAAGTGGGATATTTTGTCATCGGATTTTGTTGATCGAGATGATGCTACTTCTAGCTGGTGGCTCTTTTAGAATACACTGAAATTATTTAGCGTTGCTTTTACTTCAAACTTTATTTACTAACCCTTTCTGATTCGCAGTCTATATGCTTATACCCCACGCAAGTGCTTAGTATAGGTTCCACATCTCCACATGCTAATATACTTACCAGGAGTGAAATTTTCACTGCCTTCTTCCAACGTGAACATAAGGAACTCAAACGTGCGGAAGCGTTTTCAAGTGCGTTTAGGAGCTTATTTTCAAGAAACGTCTTCGAAAGTCTACGAGATTGCAAATTTCATTGAAAATGTTCTTAGGAATTGCAGCAAAATACACCGGAACGATCATCAGCTAGTGAATTCGGTGTGGTCCGTATAGACATGTTTTGGGAAATGTCGATTAAGCTAGCCTTTAAGGCTTCTCTTACTCCAGGTAATCAAGTATCTTCGTGACTTTTACAAATTAACTTGTAAAATTGGAAGTCGGTGGAAATCGATTATTTTAACTCTTTATTGCACACAACCTGTTGTGTGTACATCTTACCAAAAAAGACTGGGAAGATTCACCTATAAGGTGCCGTAAACGTACAATGTTTTAATTACACCTTCATCACACTTTCGAAACATCGAGCAGCCACATTGACCTCAAGGTGAGAGGTGCACCTTCATGAATGAATTATTGATTGCTTCTTGTTCGAGTAATCCCTAGGACAAACAGGTTGGTGTTTCTTAATGTGCGAAAGCCTAAAAGTATGACTAAATGTGCGTCGAAGTCGGCTATGAGAGTTTTCATCTCTGCAACCGATATTTAATATAGTCGACGTTGTTCAACTGGAGCAGTTGACTGTGTTGTCTTACGCGAATTCCGCTCAAGTGAATGTATATCTGTCGGTCCTCCCACTGGGATAGCTTGATATGGTTCATGATTTGGACATAACTATTAGGAGCTGTTTGTCGCCAACAAAGGATTCGGTTTTCATACCTTTTGAAGAATCCGCGATTCGAGAACTTCGTATTGGTGGCCTTATGCAAATAAAGTTATCATAAACGTGTGGCCCCAAGTGAGCGCTATCCAACCGAGCTTGTGATACAAATGGTTCATCTTCTTTGAGGAATGAAAAACCACGAAAGATAAAATCTGACGCTTGCTTTGACCACACAAAGCTGCGCTCGGAGATTTCCGGCATGTATTCCCCGCAGCATTATACAACCATTTTGAGCAAGTTTAAAAGGATAACACAGCTATTCATCGCATGTCTAAAGCATAAATGATCTGCTCCTTTTTGATTTCAAGGTGCACACAAGCTGACACGAAAACAGGTCGCAATTTGCCCTTGTGCATCACAACTTGTGGCATGAAGAAGCTCACATCGCAACTGAGTTGCGTCCATTGTGATCGGCACCTGCTGTCGTATCGTGGAGTCATTTAGTTCGCCGGTGAAAAAGGGCCTCATTTTCACCAAACAAGAAATCATCTTTAGGAGTTTCCGGCAGATGCATCGTTCCACAACTCTCGAGAAGGGTCAGCTAAGACATCACCCAGTCGTCAGTTCCAGCTCTATCCAAAAGAGCTTCAGTGTTCTCCTGCTAGGTGCTTTTTCAAGTGGTATATTGCAGAAGAACAAACTGGTGTACGATTCCGGTGATGTATGTTCCAACAGGAGTTGAAGATAAGAATATCTTAACCGATCATCGTTCTTCTTTTAGGAAAATCATCACAGCGCAGAGGAGAATGCGGTGGACGGATTAGTCAGCCAAGAGGAATCTGTACCAAAGCAAAATGCAGAGGTGAGTCCAAGTAATGCGAAACTGTTGCTATTTCCTTCAGTCTTTTGTTTTGGGTACTACACTTGGTCTAATAATCCCCACAATAGAGGTAGTAGACAAACTTGTTTAACTGGGCAGCTGTATCATTCCGGGTGCTATCACGAAAGGTGATATTTCTATCTTGACTGGGAAACCCAGAGCAGGTTTTATGAACCTGTGGCATAGGCGTGACATCAGCTTGTCCGCTAACGATCAAATTTACAATGCTGCGGTGCGCTCCATATTATCATATGGATCGGAGATCTGTGCACTGCGCGCCGAGGACGTCAAAAGTGTTTAACCGTCAATGTCTCCGGAGCATGGCCCGAGTGTAGTGGGAACACCAGATAAGCAATCCCGACGTACGTCGAATGGTATACGAAAGAAATAACTCACCCTTAATAGATGAACTGATTACACTGCGTAGGTTACCCTGGCTTCGCCGCGTTCTGCGTATGCCAGTCGACCGACTTCCTCGAAGGGTTCTTTTCACACAACCAGATGCATGGTTGGAACGAGCCAGAGGGGGTCAAACAATAACTTAGCATTACCAGCAAACTCAGCTGCCCTGGTCTCTACGGGACATGCAGTCTTTTAGTCAAATGTCAGTAAACTTCCATGCGATGATACTTGTCGCTCCGAAATCAAGGACGCGTAAATCGCAATCAATTGGTTAAATTCATCCGTGCCGTTTGATCTTTAAGCTATCTTCACAGGAACTGCGTATTCTGCATGCGCTTGCCGAGTATTGTTATTATTTTCAAGTTGTTCCCACTTCGTCGATTGCGTACCATCGTTCTTCGCGGTTCAGCACCCTAAGAGCGACGCGCTTCTCAAAACATATGAAGTTTTCATAAGCATGCTCATAAAGCTGCTTAGATGATGGGGAAATTTCGCGTCCGACTAATAGGCGATAGCCCAAAGGAACCTCTCCGTCCACGTATTCATCGACCACAGCCTGAACTAACTAAATTCTACAAGAAGGAGTTCATCGAACGCGTGCCTCGTTCCTGGTTGTTTTAATCTAATTTCCAACCTTCATCGGACAGTACTGTGTAGCCGACATCGTTCAAACCACTTCCGCAGCTGCTTCCTCGTTTCACTTTGTTGAGAAAATGCACCCATAAATCCACTGTTCTGAATCTGGCCTGAGGAAAAATTCGTATTTTACTCCTCTCCAGCTTACACACTTGTTACTCTCGTAAGGTATGTTCTACTAGGATGTTGTCCGATAGTTTATTTCGACCGGTGGCTATGCTGCCAAATAGTACGGAAAATCATGCGCTGATTGGAAGAAGATGATGGAAGGAGGTGATGCACAATCTCACCATAATCATGTAGCCGTGAACAATGTGCCTGCATACTGCATGGAATGTTGACTTTGCATGACCAACAAACAAACCAATCGGAATGTTTCAGGTCACGAGATATGTCGGAGTAGACAGCTGATTCGTGTGGGGATTTCGGCGAACAACCATCGTTGATGGGTACTAGGTCTGTTGTTTACGTAACGAAATGCTATCGAGTAACCGGTTTTGGACGAATTGTGGAGTCAAGAATTGTGGAACCACGCGAAATACATTTCGTTTCCCCCACGCATCGTTCCTACCCGAATGTGCAATATTACTAGCTCACATTGTTTCCATCCAACAGGATTCCCAACCATCAGGCGCAACTCATACAGAAGGTGAATCACGTGCAGGGGTGGTCGATCAGCAGAACGTCCTCCGAAATGCCACCAAAACTGAACACGATCAGGTAAGAATCATAAACCACTGGTAGATGAGGCTGTTTCCTGGCTGTTTCGCATCACACGGTCCAGTACACTACAATCGCACACAATCTAGTTCCGTAGGACTACAAACTTCGTCGCATGCAGACTAGCGTTGCTTCACACAATTCTGTACTTAAATCCCACACTGTACATTCTGGCAAGCGTTCTTGCGTTTAGAGTCTGCCAATCCTCGGCAGATCACGAGCGTCACATCTCGAGATGTTATTCTGTTCTCGGTGGCCGAGGAAATGCGGAAACCTTCGAGTTTTTTACTCGCACCTTCATCTTACTTGCGAGTCTTTGTGTGTTGAACGTAACCTCAGGGTGCGAGCTGCTCCGTGATGAACGATTTATTGTTTTCCTGTTGTTATTATACTTTCTTGATCATCTAGTTTGATGTTTCCTCATTTTCACCCGCCAAAAATCATGGATTATTTTGCGGTAAGGTTGGCTTTGCAGGTTTTCATCTCTATAACCGTTATCTGATATAGCCGGCTGGAGCAGTTGTCTACATTGTTGTATAGATAGTCTGCTCAAAAATATCTGTCTGTCCATCCTCCTACTGGGAAAGCTTGATATGATTAATGTTTTGTACATAAATTCTGGGGGGTCTTTGTCGCCAATAACTGATTCTCTAGTTATAGCTTTTGAAGAATCCGCATTTTGAGGGCTTATTATGGTGTAAAAAAATTTATTGAAATATCCGCTTCCAAGTAAATGCTATCCAACTGAGCTTATAATACAAATGGTTCATCTTTTTTGGTTCATCTTTTTTTGCGAAAAAAGATAAAATTTAACCCTTGCATTGAGAACATAAAGCTGCGCTTGGAGATTTCCGACATGCATTCCCCGCAGCGTTATACAACCATTTTGAGCAAGTTTAAACGGATAATACAGCTATTCATCGCATGTCTAAGGCATAAATAATCTGCTTTTTTTTATCTCAAGAAGCACGCAATCCGATACCAGAACAGGTCGCAAATCGCGCTTGTGAGTTGCAAGTTGTGGCATGATGAAACCCATATCGCAGAGGCGTTTCGTCCATTGTGAACGGAATATGCTAACTTATCAGAGAGTCATTTAGGTCGCTGGCCAAAAAAGACCTCATTTTCACAAAACATAACATCATGTTTAGGAGTTCCGGACCGACGTTTCGTTCCACCATCCATGAGATAGGTGAACCAAGAACTCAACATAGCATTAGTTCCAGCTATATTCAAAAGAGCATCACTAGTCGCCAGATAGGCGCTTTTTGAAAAGGTAGTTTTAAGGAGAACACACTGGTGTACGATTCCGATGATGCATATTCCAACGGGTGATGATCAGAATATCTTAACCAAACAGTGTTCTTCTTTTAGGAGACTGATCGGAAAGCATCCACCGCAGAAGAGGATGTGGTAGACGGATCCGTCAGCCAGGAGGAATCTGTACAAAAGCAAAATGCAGAGGTGAGTCCAAGTAATGCGAAACTGTTGCTAGTTCCTTCAGTCTTTTGTTTGGCTACCATACTTGGTCTAATAATCCCCAGTGGCTTAGGCGTGGCATCAGCTTATCCGTCGAGGGTCAAAATTATAATGCTGTGGTGTGTTGCATATTATTACCTGGATCAGAGACCTGCATGTTTCGCGCCCATTGATATCTTTGTAGGATCGCCCGAGCGTAGTGGGGAACCTGGATAAGCATTGTCGAAGTACGTCTAATGATGTACGAAGGAACTCATGAACTGATTACACTGCGTAGGTTGCGCTGGCTTGACGACGTTCTGCGTATGCCAGTCATCCGACTTTCTCGAAGGGTTCTTTTCACACAACCACATGAAGTGTGGGAACGAGGCAGAAGTGGCCAAACAACAACTCTGTTCGTTAGTATAACTGTCAATACCAGAAAAACTCAGCTGCGTTGGTCGCTGGCGTCTTCCTGGATGGGAACCCCGAAATGAACCTCATCAATATTTGGAGGCATTGTCAGACATATCCAGTCGAGCTCTTAATAGCACTCGTGCATCCAAGCTATTGCCCTCACTTAACAGTCCGCTGATAGTGCTGTATTGACGAGCCAGTTTATCAGCTCCCACCTCTAATGGGCAGTTACCTACCCCACCTCCCCGAATCATCGGTGAGCGAATCAGTGGCAGCTACAACCGCTGTACGACAAGTACGCGGTTCTTGTAGTAGCTGCTGATGATGATGACACTGTAGCAAAATGTATGTTCGTCTTATGATGCGGCACTTGATGGTATGCTCATTTTGTGAGTTGAAATTAGTCCCAGTCTTAAAGCAGCAACCTTTTCTTATTGAGATAATGGACCCCGTTTCCTGTCAGAAGATAAAGTTTTAATCAGTGCACTAAGTGAAGTATTTGCTGACCGGTGACGGAGTTTGAATATGTTAATTTATTAGGCTTTCGTGTGCGGTTGAAAGTACACACTACAAAGTTTTGGGGAATATTTTTTCTTCATTCCGCTTTACTCTATTCTAAATTGTTCCTTAACTACGGTATCAAGGTCTACGAAAATGTTTACCTTAGAATTCATAGGTAGTATATTTCTCCATCTGCCGCTCATTAGCAGATTAACAGACTACTTAAAGCAACTTTCGGGATAGTTGTTTTCCTACGCTAGTCTACTGAACTCCTCGATAAATGTGAGATTAAGGTCTTGCAACCCAAAATCGAAATTGTTGGTTCTCGAGAGCTTTCTGCCAAGTCTTCTAAACAAATGTTGGTTTGCAATTTGAGTAAGATGGTAACTTGATAGTAATCCTCAAAAACTTGAAGTATGCACGGGTGAAACGAACGTATTGCTGACAGCGCCGGAGATAACCCGCCAACTGTTTCAAAAAGAAAGTGTCACTTCTGTGGATCAATTGGAATCAAATGGAGCGAAATGTCTTCACAATAGATTTGCCGCAAAAATCTTTACCCTGAAAACTTAGCACAGAACTTATCTCCCTGAGGAGCATGGTAGAGCAAATAAATTGAAATCTAAGCTAAACAAATTGACCTTGCCGTGCCACTCAAAGAAACCTTAGAATGGAGGATGTGGTGTGGTTATCTTTGTACCGTCATGCAGAACAAACGACGTATTGCGCCAAGCTGTAAAAGTTTGCTTTGTTTCCCGGAATATTCCAGAGGATTACTACAGTTCGTACGTATAACGTTCCGTTTGGCTCGTCACTTACTCGGGTGTTTAGTGGCACTTATGCCAGGATGATTATTTTTGTCGGAGTTCCAGTCATTTAGTCAAATATCAGTTAACTTTCATGCAATATTACCTGTTCGCACCGAAATCAACGGCGCGCTACCCGCAATCGGATGGGTTAAATTCATCAGTGTTGTTTGATTTTTAAGCCATCTTCACAGAAACTGTATATTCTGTATGCGTTGACCGAGCATCGTTTATTGTTTTCAGATGTTCGAAATTCGTCACCCGCGTAACATCATGCTTTTCGGTTCAGTGCCGAAAAAACCGCGCGATCCTCAAAAAATTTAAAGTTTTTATAAGCACGCACATAAAGCTGCTGAGAGAG